ACAAATGATCTCCGTTACATGTCGTATTTCAAAGTAAGTTTTATTAGTTTGTTATTTTTACTTCATAACGTGTACAATTGCTAACTATGAGTAATAGAACTGCATTGGAGCAATCGATAGTGCGCATGTGGATGCCCGACTACGAAGTCACGAAAAGATCGCGTACATTGGTCGGAGTGGTACAACTACCTAAAATGTTATGGCAGTGTGTGACTTCAACAAGTGCTTCACATTTGTAATGGCGGAATAAGAAGGAAGTGCACATGACAGTCGTCTTTTTTCCTATGCAACTAGAAATAGAACACAGTGTTTCCCTCACCCACCTCCAGGTTTGTTCATCTCATTTAAACATATAAATTATATGTATTATTTTTCATTAATATTGTCTTTCATAACAGAGAAGTATTATTTGGTTGATGTTGGATATCCGATGCTAAGGGGCTACCTGAAGCCATATCCAGACACGAGATATCATATTCCTGATTTCAAGCGAGCAAGTGGAATAATTCATGGCAGAAAAGAAATGTTCAACAAACGTCACTCCTATTTATGTAGAGTTATTGAAAGAACATTTGGGGTATGAAAAAAGAAATGAGTTATCCTTTGTGATATGTCTTCGTATCCATTTCCCAAACAGGTGCATATTGTGGTGGCAACTATGACACTTCACACCTTTATCAGACGACATCCCTCTTGATCAGACACGGACTTCAATTTGGCTGATGACGATCAACTTTTTGACTCTCCAGAACCTTCAGGATCTCTCGTTGGTTAATTATAACCTGACGATGAGATCGACTCAGTTGAATTTCAAACTCAGGACGGTGAATGCGTCGCCGAGATGACTGTTTTGAGGTAGTCTATCGCAAATGCTATATCCGGATGTTGATTCAGCTACGCTCCTTTATTTATTTTCCATTCACTTGGGATGTATTTCATTGTAGTATGGATTTGTATTTTAAATTTTATTAAGAATTTTGTATCTTTTATTTGGGATGTAATTCGGTGTACTATGAATTTGCATTTTGGTTAGTATTATTTATTTTGTTTTTTTTAGTACTAATTTTCAAATCAAACCAATTTTCCTTAATTTTCATTTTTATAGCTTAATTTAATTTTATGATCTGACAAGTTATATTTGTTTGGTTGTTTTATCTCAGTAGCAGCATGAGCTCTAGAATTTCAAGGACGACGTCAAAGTTTTAAACTGAACGTTTTAATATTTTTACTTGTAATTGTAATTGTATTTCTTCTTATTTTATTTGTTTTGATACTCACGAAGTGGTAAGCAATGTATTTTAATTTTTATAACTGAACTGTAATATTTTGAGACATATGTTTTATCTATTATTTTCCATAAACAGTTCTGTTGCAAACTGCTTAACTAAACTGCTTAACCAAACAGAGACAAAATGGTCATTTATTCAACAAAAGCTCCCAGTAAGCTGTTCTGAATAAGCTGCCTCAAACAGCAAGCCAGCTTATTCTGATAATCTGCAGATTATCAGAATAATCTGCTAAGCAGATTATAAATAATCAACAGCTGCCCCAAAAAGACCCTTATGCTAAGCAGGTCTACTATGGAAACTATACATTTATTGAGAGGATTCATGGAGAAGTTCAAAGATAATAATTAGAATCAACATTTCAATTTTATTGATTTAGAAAAAGCTTACAATAAGGTTCCAATAGATATCCTTTGGAAAGTTCTTGAGAAGAAAGGTGTTGATAAGATTTATATTCAGGTCATTAAAAATATGTATACTAGAGTTGTTACTTGTGTTCGAACTGGAGGAGGATTGACCAAATATTTTCCTACTTTTGTTGGATTACATCAGGGATCAATTTTAAGCTCATATCTTTTTGCTTTAGTTATGGATGGTTTTACTATACATTTATAGGAGGATGTACCATGGTGCATTTACAAGAGTATGTAATTTGGTGTATGTTTTTTGCTGATGATATCATTTTTTGTGGATAAGACTAGAGAGATTTCAAGAAAAAAAACTTTATATATGGAGGTTAACTATAGAATCTAATGGCTTTCGTTTGAGTTGATCCAAAATTTAATATATTAAAGTTAATTTTAATAGTAGTAGATCTAGTGGCGAGGTTGTAACAATTAGTGATCAAATCATGAAATGAGTGAACTTTTTAGATATCCCGGGTTTCTTGTTCAGAAAAGATAGTGATCTAGATAGGGATGTTAATAGTAGAATTCAAGTTGGTTAGTTGAAGTGGAAGAATGTTTCGGGACTTTTGTGTGATAGAAAAGTACCACTTAGACTTAAAGGAAAATTTTATAAGACGATGGTGAGGCCTGCATGGCGTTGAATGTTGGCCTTTAAAAGAGAAGCATAATAATAAGTTAAGTGTTGTCGATATAACAATAATTAGGTGGATGAGCGGCTTTACACTTAGAGACAAAATGCGAAATGAATTTATCGGGATAGGGTAACGAACAAAATTAAAGAGAGTCGTCATAGATGGTTTGGTCACATTAAATGTCGACCATCTGATGATCGGATTAGAAGAGTTGATGTTTTAGATTCATGTTTTAGATTCAACTTCTGTTAAGAAAGGCAGAAGTAAACCTAGGAAGACTTGGGCTTATTGTATAAAAAATAGCTTACTGTATTAAAAATAATCTTAATTGATATGAACAAAATGAAAATATGACACTAAATAGGACGTAATGGAAAAAAGGATTCATGTAGCCAACCCCATGTAATGGGATTAAGGCTTTGTTGTTATAGTTGTACACTTTCAAAATACAATAAAAATAATACCAATATGCTAATCTTTTATATTACTGAGTATCACGAATCGTAGACATAGCTAGCTAGTGAAGTCGTAGTTCACAATGTAGAGCTCCGTGAATAGGGCTCCGTGAAAAATTTCGTAAGCACAGATCCCTCTTTCACGATATTTGAAGCTTTCATTTTCATCCTCACCTTTCTGAATTGAAGTTTGCCTTATTTTTCGTGCATCTTTCCTTTCCGATAGCCCTCGAGGCGAAGATTGTGTGTTGGAAGCGTCTAAAGTCTTTTATGAGTTTCCATAAGGATTTTAGGATGATATCAATGAAGGGGAAAGGAGATTGAGAAGATAGGAAGAAGAGAAATGATATTTTATAGCTTCGGAAAAATGAATTTGTGTTGAGAAGCTTATTTTGAGGTAAGAATTTTACTTTTTTGAGTTTAACTACTTTATAAGCCGAAAATGTATAAAATGCTAAAATCTTTATAGATTCTAGGTTAATTACCTGAAGCGATAAATTTGAGGCAAGCATGTAGAAGATCGTCATAGAACAGCTCCATTAATTTCAGGTAAAGAATCCTATACTAATTTAAAAAGAATAATTGCATTTACGGAAATTACTTAAATCTTAAATTTTAATATGACATTTTATAGGTTATTGAGCTCAATATAAAAGTCACCGCAACATCTAGCCAGTTACAGAAAATCAAGAATCTAGCGTGGCGACTAAGGTGAGAAATTATATTCCTAAATTTTAGTAATCATTATTATTTTAAAATATATGTATGTTTTAGTTTAGTTAGATTTATATTGTAGTAGATTCTTCATGCTGTGGATAAAAAAGTTATGTATGACTGAAAAGTTATAAAGGATGTTCACGCATGAAAAATATGCATGAGATGAATGATATTTAGATAGACATTTTATGTAAGATATACATTTAAAATAGGTATGTATGAAATGATTATCGAAGGCGTGAACAAATGAGAGAACCAAAAATGCGTATACGACTACATTACTTGTAAATTGATTTAAATTTTATTTATTTGTGGCTCTTTCAATTTATGGGATAATTTTTTGCATGAGTTAGTGATAGTAATTGTAATTTGAATTTTATGGTTGGTTATTTGTTCCCGTCTTAGTAATTCCATACAACCGGGCTAAGCCGTGGTGACTTTGGTGTTGCTCTTAGTTGGAGCATATGAAAGAGAAACTATAAGAATCTTTTGTATAAATCTACTTCTTAGAGAAATTTTGGCTCTTGAAAAAATTTAAGAATGAGGGGATGAGATATCAACTTCCCTAAGATATGGGCAAAAGAAGTGAATAACCTACAATGAAGATTGATTCTAGTTCAAGTGAACCTGATAGAAGCAAGATGACCTCTTTATTTCTCCTCGCCCATTTTTCTATCATGCTTTCATGGTGATAAGCATTTGGAGTAGCTTTGTTGCGTGAGCTGTTGCCTGTCAGTCTGTAACTTGGTACAACTTTCTCAAGTTTAAGGGGACCTTCCAACCAAGAAACTATAGTTCTTTATTCAATTCTAGTGAAAATGAAGGGTTGGCCCTTTCATTCATTGCTCAAAAGAAAATTATTAATTATTATAAAGCTATAAATATTGCTGAAAATCTGCTTGTAAGTTGAGCGTTAAACGCCATTACAGAAATTAAAGGCAAACAGGTACCAAATCTAAGCAACAATAGGTAAATAGCAACATCTCGATCAAACAGCAAAATGAGAAAAAGCATGACATTCCCAGGATTCAGGCAACCTTATGCTTTTAAAATATATCCAAGCAATCACCAGTAAAATAAAAAAAAATGTATCAGTAAAAACCATAATTAAAAGAGTATATTCATGCTAAGAGAATATGAGAAACAACTGGATGGAGGTAGAAAGAGAAGGGCCTCATGACAGGACAAGTAAACCAAGCTGAGGAAAGCATGGAAAGCCTGCAACTTAGCTTTAGATGAAGAAATTAAGCAGACATTTTATACTGACACACCCACCCACACATACTGAGACGCAATCAGAAGCAATTAATAAATTAAAGAGGCATATCAAGACTGGCATTCAATTATAAATAGAAAATTATGTCTTTCTTCCATCCGCACACGTAGTTGAAAACAAATACAAATTGAAATTTCTTTAAATGAATTTGAAATAAAGTACAATTGTGCAGTGCCAAATTAGAAGGATCAGAAGATATCAAAAATCACATAAATCTGATTTCTTACCTATTAACATTTATAACTTTGACCTTCACCTGCTGACCTTCACTAAGAATATCTCTAACATCATGAACCAAATCCCAAGAAACCTCTGAAACATGCACTAGTCCGGTGAGATGATAGTGACCTAAAATGGGGTACCATATGTCAGCTCATTTTCATGTTGATATTGTCCCACTTATAATTTGTTTTAGCATTAAATAATACCATCAGGGAAAAGCAAATGCACAAATGCACCATAATCTTCCACCGAGCCAACCTTAGCATCAAAAGTATCTCCGACCTTAACCTGACTAGAATACTTAGACCAGTTAGCATCCTTCTCAGAGAAAATCAGCCTTTTTTCTTCTTCGTTCACTTCAATAACCTACATAGTAATACATTACAATCAAAAGAAATAACTAATAATCAATTAAATAGATAATTCAGTAGCCCCGCCGCCCGCTATAGATTTAAGCAATAAATTTTCTCAATTTTAAATTAAAATCACGAATACTAAAAGCAAAACACTTAATATCTAACTGCCAGGCATAATCAAAAGTTCTCACGCAGGACTAGGAGAGATAATTAACCATAACATGCCCGTTTATTTGAAATTGAAAACCAAATTATGAAGCATCGTAAGAAAAGGGCAAATCTCTATGTATTTCTTATATGCAATCTAATCAATCTGAAAATTTGATCCGAAGCAAACTCACTCAGAAGAGCTGATTAAGACTTTCGAAGCCCTCATATGACTATAATACTCTATTATTATAATATATTTAAATCTAAACACTACCGTTACCGGTCCCAAGCCCGGATGCGAAAAGTGGAGGGTTGGTTAAGTAGACGACAGCCAGCGTAAAACATGCCGAAAAAATCATGACATGAATCCTTTTGATCTTTGTGTAAGTGCTAGGGCGTCCCTGGAAGCAACGCGCTATATAGCCTGAATACAGTGAAAAGTATGCAAGGGCCGCAAGGGTCGCTACACCGGCCTCCCGGGTGTAGTGTCAAATAAGCAAGGGTTCTCACATTATGGACAAATGCGAGTAAAGAAGTTAGTTTATGAAAATAATGAAACTAATATTAGGATAGGATCTTGGAATATAGATACTCTCAATGGTAAATTAATAGAATTAGTTGATATTATGATGTATAAAAAGATTAATATCTTATGTATTCAAGAAACTAAATGAGTTGGGGCAAAGGTTAAGAAAATTGATAATTTAGGTTTTAAACTTTGGTATTCTGGTAACAGTCGTACTAGAAATGGTGTAGGTATAATTATGGATAAGAGTTTGAAAGATAATGTTGTAAAAATTAATAGAGTTGGAGATAGAATTATAGCCCTTAAGATTATCATTGATACTAAAAATTTTTAATATTATAAGTGCTTATGCTCCTCAAGCAGGTTTAGATTCAGGGTCTAAAGATAAAGTTTGGAATGACTTAAAAGACTTAATACAAATGATACTTCTTGAAGGAGATTTAAATGGACATGTCGGTGGAGGGGTAGAAGAATTCAGAAATACTCATGGTGGCTATGACTTTGGAGTAATTAATGAAGAAGGTGGAGCTATTTTAAATTTTGCTTTATGG